ACATGTGTCCGTCCCAGTAGGAGTGGTGGGGTCTGCTCAGCTGGGACCATCCGGAATGAAAAGTGGGATGCGCTTACAGAGAAGGAGAAAGAAATGCAGGCATTCACCGCAGTGTGTCAACAAGAAAGAGCATGAACTGAGTGCCCCAAGTTGCCAGCCTTGATCCAGCTTGAAATTGGTCCTGACACAGTCTCAGGGCACCATGCCAACCCCGACAGCGCTGATGCACGCCCTGCCCTGGCTCTTCCCTCTGTGCAGAGTGTGCACCTCCGCTGCCTGGTTTACACCCAGTCAGAATGCACTTGCCCACTCATTCCTTCACACTTTGCTCCGCCTGCCAGGGTGGGACTGGGGGGGGGGGGAGATTCACTGGGAGGGGGTGCCTGGCAGAGGCTCCTCTGCCCTGGGCGGGTGCTGCTTCACTCTGTCCAGCCTCATTCCTTGTCCTGATGAGAAGGTTCTCTTCTCCCGTGTGCCTTCGCCTCCACTACCCTTGTCCTTGAATACCCTTCCCGGCATTATCCACAGGCTCACGTTTACCCGTCTTCCGAGGCTCAGGTCTGTCTTGTCCATCTCCTTCAAGATTTCCCTATACCCCTAAGTTTGTGTCAGACCTTTGTATCGCTACTGATTCCAGAACGCAGGATATGTAGCCATTTGATGATTATTTGTTTACCTATGCCTACCATTGGCTCCTTAAGGGAAGGACCACGGCTGATGTACCTTTAGGTCCCAGCCAGCACCCAGCACAGGACCTGCCGCCGAGTAAGCAGGTCGTTTTGGACAGGGCAGGAGCTCCGTGTGCATGCTCGGAATGGCACTTGTGGGGGATGCCTGCAGTTTGTCTCTCCTCTCTCTCTGGGCTGCTTCTCCCAGACATATGCCCACCTGTCCTTCAGGTCTGCCATCCTTTCTCCTCAAACGCCTGCTGTCCCCTGGGATTCATGTAGGTAGTCAGCAGGGGGAGTGGCAGCGAGGCGTTAAACATGACAAAGCACTCACAGAATGCTCTCTTTGCTTGGGACGCGTACCAAGGTCTTACTGTGCAGGACTATTTATGGTGGGGCTGCCGTCGCAAGATCCCAGATAAGACCAAGGTAGATTCTAGAAACCCCTGACCCCTCTGCTTTGTCCACCTGCCACTTCCCGGAGCCGGTTCTAGGAAGATGGATCTGTGAGGTGTGGCTTTTACCCCATCGAATGACAGCCTCCCTTTTGGAGGGACCAAGGCCCATGGCAGCATCTGATAGGCTAACTGCTGCGGCTCTGTTCTCAGGACCCACTGCGGGGCTCTGCCTTCCCTTTGTCCCTTGGGCGTCTTGGGCCGCTCACACTCGCGAGGCACAGTGGCCAGAGGGCTAGAGGCTCTGCAGGCTCTGAGCCACCTCCTGGGGGCTGAATAAAACATGGGGGAAACACTAGAGGAAGAGCATGGTGGCTAGAGGGCTGGCCACTCAAACAAACAGGCGCAGGGGGAGAGCTGAGGCCGTGTTACTATAACACGGCAAACCCACATCCGGAGGCACCTTTCTCAGTTGGATGGTGGGATGAAGACCTTACTGTGAGGCTGCTGGTGCCCACATGCGACTAGTCCCCAACCTCTAATCAGACCAGGGTACAGGCTGATGTCCTGGGCCTCAGGGAATGGTTTAGGTCGGTGAGCTAGAGCTGGAGACAGTACCTTCTACACATCGCCACTAAGGGAGCTAGAAGATCCTTTTGCCCTTTCTGACTGGTCAGAACCTGAAGGTTCTATGGGCAGGTCAGCCTCTTGGGTCCTGGGGTCCCAGCCTGGCTGTGAGAGGCACGGGGCTAGACACTCCCACAGCGCATGCCTTTCGAAAGCTCCACGTCCCCAAACTACTCTGCTCTAGGATCAAAGGGGGAAAGACAGGCAGGTCCCAGTGCAACTTCCGTCTTCTCCTTCCCCTGTTCCTTCTCACGCACTCACACACGCCCTCCTGAAACCTAATCCTGGGGCTGCCTCCCGTGCTGGTGCTCTCCGCAGGGCTGGCGGGCTGGGGCCTGCCTACTGGAGCCTGCCCCACCCTGCCCTGTTACCCCCTAGGCCAGGGCAAGCAGGTCAGGCATCCCACACCCCGCTAGTCTGACCAGTCATTCTGCACCTCAGGGGCCACCTCCGCCCTCACCAGGCTCCCAAACTGGCACCCTCGCCTGGACAGAAGCCCCTGGGTCCCATTCCAGGTGCAGCGTGAGGCTCTGCCCAGGCCACCTGCAGAATTAACACAAACATACACACATACACCACCTCTACCATCCACCCCACCCCATTTCCTGTTGTTTACTGCCAGGCTCAGCTTCCAAGGCTCTGCAGGCTCTGAGCCGCCTCATGGGGGCTGAACAAATCGTAGTGGAAACACTAGAGGGAGAGTACAAGTCTGTCTGCAGGAGTGAGGCAGGACTGTCCAGAGGAAGTAGCATTTGAATTTAAAGAAGGGATTTTCCAGGGAAAGGTGTATCCTTGTACGTGTGATTTTTGGAGGGTTGATTTGTGATGGATTACCAGCAACTTATGGCTATTTGGCCTAATGTGAATTAGGAGAAAGTTGTGTCCATTTGCAGAGCAGTGTTCTTATGATATTATAAAGTGAAAAAATTAGTCTACAGAGCTGTTTAAAAAACAATATGGGAAAAGGAAAATCAGTACAGATATATACCAAAAAGTTAATTGTCTCTGTGTTGTAGGATTATGGATATGTTTCATTGATTTTGTGTGTGCATGCACCTATCTGCATATTTCTCCAAAATTAATGTACAAGTGACATAAAAAAATGAGGGGATTTTAGTTCTGGCTGGTGTGGCTTGGTTGGTTAGGCATCAGTCATCCTGTGTACCTAAAGGTTCGATTCCAGGTCATAGCACATGCCTTGGTCGCCTGCTTGATCCCCCAGTAGGGGGCGTGCAGGAGGCAGCCAATGGATGTTTCTTTCCTTCTCCCTCTCTCTCTCAAAATCAATTTAAAAATCTTTTTTAAAAAAATATATATTTTATTGATTTTTTTACAGAGAGGAAGGGAGAGGGACAGAGATCTAGAAACATCGATGAGAGAGAACCATCAATCAGCTATCTCCTGCACACCCCCTATCGGGGATGTGCCCGCAACCAAGGTACATGCCCTTGACCGGAATCGAACCTGGGATCCTTCAGTCCTCAGGCAGACGCTCTATCCACTGAGCCAAACCGGTTTCGGCAAAAATATTTTTTTTAAGGTGTTATTTTTTTAAGTGAAAATTACCATGATGAACTTTCTTATCAGCTGAAAAAGAGGGAAGGGAGAGGAAAAGGAAAAAATTTGGCTAGATCTTAGGAGATTTCATTAGCACATGACATCCAGTACCTATTGGAGGCAGATAAAATCCTGCCCAAGCCTGACTGAGAAACTTTGTAAAACTTTTGTCAGCTCAGCTCCAGCACGGGAGGAGAGAGGTTCTTGCTGTAGGCTTTTCTAGGGACCTTGTTTCCTTTGCTCTTCCACATGGACTGTGGCCAGCATCCTCAGTGCCTCTGGTGTAGCACCAGATCTATCCATTCATTCAGGTTTGATGTGGTAGGCATGGGAAACACGCGTGACCTTTGACACAGAAGGGAAGTGTGCTAACTCCGAAGTGCAAAGGAGAGCTGGGGTGCGGGGTGGGCAATGGGGAAGGAGCAGGAGTGAAAGTTTTCTGCCTTCTTTCAAGTTCACTTCAAAATCTCTTAACATCGGACGTCCACATGATTACTGAGGTAATTTCTCCTGGGCGTGGAGACGATACTGATGTTAGTGATGGGGGGAGTAGGAAACGTAAACTTGAGTTAGAGAACATTAGAGGCTAAGTTCTAGCTTCTGAGCTTACAGGGCCTCTGCTCCATCTTCAGTTTTCCAGTGGCTGATTCAGTTGGTCTGGAAACAAAGAGACAGAGCCACCAAGGCCTAGGCCTCCACACATTCATTCTTGGCCTGCGAGGCCCTCAGCCTGCCCCACAGCAGGACTCGTGCACCTTCCACGCTGCTGGGTGCCCTGGAAAAGGTCTCCTAGGCAGGGCGCTGGGTTCCACGTGAAGTCGCCGTCCACGCATCTCTGAAGAGCTTGTTCCTCCTGTGCCTTTGCCCTCTCCCCTCACTCCCTTCCGCATCCCGTGACTGTCCTGTCCTCCCCAGGCCTGCACCCTGCCCTGCCCACTCTCCGCTTTCCCAGGAAAAGTGAGATTTGCCTTTTCCCTTCCCCTCAACTCAACATCATGTCACCCTTCCTCCTCCTTTCTCTTTTCCCTCCCACTTTCCTCCAGGCCAAATCACCCCTCTCCTTAAGCTCATAACAGCCCCGCACCTCCCGAGGAGCTGTGCGTTCCTGCTGTCCTCCCCTCTGCCAGCAAATGTGCTCAGGCTCCTGCTTGTCTGCAGCCTCCCCTCGGCCCTGCCTCCCGGCCTCCGGATTCAGCAGTTTTTCTCTTCTCTTCCAAATCTCTGTCTCCTGTGGCTCTTCACCAGCTTTGTTCTCTCCTCATGCATCCCCCTTCCTCCTCACCCCGGTGGCCCACCTCTCAGGATCCTCTCCGGGGTTCTGCCTCCCGGCATTGGCTGTTCTGGGTTATTTTCCTGCCCCATGGGACTGTGCCTCGTCTCTGTGTCCCCATATGGCAGGCACAGTGTGGGCAGCAGTGACTATCTGATGGGTGGCATGCCTGGATAGCCTGCCAGGGAGCTTCCAGCTCAGCAATACTGGGCCCTGGTGCGGGGTCTGGGCCCTCCACACTGTAGCTGGCCACCTAGGACTGGCCGGACCCGCTCCTTTAGATTCAGGCCCTGCCCAGCACAATCTGTCAGACCCACACAGCAGCGACCCAGTGAGCAGGCGGGGATCGGAGATCGGAAGGGTGTGCTGAGGTGTGAACGGTGGCTTCCAGCAGAGCCATTGGCAAGACACGTGTACAGAAGAGCCAGCCAGCACTCCAGCCTGTTGCATTGGGGAGTCCTCAGCAGCCCTGTTGTATTCCAGGTTCTCCAAGCCAGCACCCATGTTCCTGGATGACTCTTTCCGCAAGTGGGCTAGGATCCGAGAATTTGTGCCGCCTTTTGGGATCAAAGGCCAAGGTACGTTGAGAACCCTGACCTACTCTACATTAACATCTCGTCTTCCAGACTATCTCCCTACATCTCAGGCAGGGCTGGAGCCTCAAAAGTGCCCATGCTGGGGGCCCACCCCCTCCTCTGCTCTCAACAATGCCTTACATTCTCTTCCTCCTTCCCTTCCTGCCTTTTTTCTTATTTCTCTAATGGAATATTTACTCAGAGCCCAGCACTTTGTCAGGGCTAGGTCTCCAACACTGGAGTCGGCGGATATGGTCCCTGTCTTCAGAAAGCTTCGGGCTAGTGGAGATAAGACACTCAGTAAGGGGTCTGATGAGGGAAGAACATGGTGCTGGAACAGGTGGTGCCAGAGATACTGGCGGTAGGGAACTAGATATAAGATGGAAAATCCCAGAGAAAATAGAAGCCATCCCCCACGAAAGCCCCCAGGCTCCTCCATCATCCCCTCCTGGTGTTTTCAGCTAGTCCCCTGTCCAGCCCTTTCCTGTCCTGTCCAAAGCCAGAATTTCCCCCTATATCCTTAGAACTATCTGCCTCCGTTGCCTGAGGGTCCGCACGCATGGGGTCCTCTCCTGACTTAGACTTTCCCATCCTCATAGCTTAACAGTTGCGTTTATTTGTCAGGTTCCTGCTCCGTTTCCTGGCATGCTAGAGTATGAGCTTTAGGGTCAGATACAGAAGGATCAGATCCCACTGCTGCCTTTTTACTAGCTATGACCTTGAACAAGTGACTTCATCCGCCTGTGCTTTAGTTTCTCCCTCAGTTAAATGGAGAGAATCGTACCATTGTATTAGGATGTGGTCAGAATTAAATAAGATAACTGTTAAATGGGAGTTATCCTGTGGCCAGCGACCCAAGAATACCTCAGCCCTCTACTGAGCCAGCCCAGCCCTTCCTGGGCAAGTCCCCGGCCTGACTTCAGAGCCTCCCAAAGCCAGATGAGCCTGCCAGGGAAGGGCCGGGGAAGCACCCGCATGCCGGCGCTGGGGACTGGCTCCAGGCGGAGCTGAGGGTGTCTGCCTGTTCTCCTGCGCCCTCTCCTTTTCTCAGGGATAAAGGAAAGCCAGCAGCCCGGCCCACCGGTGCCCAGATCTCCCTCTCCCCACCTCCACCTCCACCTCCACCCTACCCCTGGAAAACATCTCATGGGAACTTAAGTGGTCCTCTCACATTAGCCTCCCTCTTCTCTCCACAGATAATCTCATCAAAGCCATCTTGTCAGTCACCAAAGAGTACCGCCTGACCCCTGCCTTGGACAGGTGAGCCACTCCCTGCCCGCCTCCTGCCCCTCAGCTGCCTTGTGCAGAGACGTTGAGGTCCAGCTGGCCTTTCCTGGACGTGAGCAGATTCTCCGGCGTATCCATATGTGCACACACACTACACGTGCTGGGATGGGTAGCAGAGAAGTGGGGCCATCTAGCTGGCTTGCACCCGTGGGCTGAGGGTAAAAACTGAAGACACTGGGCTGGGATGTGCCCGCCATTGGGACTGTGGAGCTAGGCGGTGGGTACAGCTAAAAGGACCAAGGCTTACACGCAGGAGGCAGTAATACCTCCGAAGCTATCGGAACCCGAATAGAAGGACCCCCAGGGTCAGGGGCTGGAGAGAAAAGTGAGTAGGGTTCCCGCGTGGCTTTATGGGAGCATGGGGGCTCCTGGATTGAATATAAGCCCGGCCCTAAGTCCCCGGGGCCTCCAGTCCATTTCTCTGTTCTCGCTTTTCTGGGATCGCCCTCAAGCTCAGCCCTCGTCCCTCTCCCGAAAGCTGCCTAACCCCCATGGCTCTTGGGAAACCTTTAACCCAGAGTTGCCATCTTACCGGAGCCTCCTTTCTCACCTACACGGAGCTGGTGTCCAAGCCCTTTCCACACCCGTGTTTTCTTGGACAAGCGTCACGGACTAGGGGTGGCCGAGCGTTCCAGGCGGCCCAGCTCCCCGCAGTTTGTTTCTGGCCGCTTCTCAGAAGCACTGCCAGAAGCCCCTTCGTTTTCTTCTCTCCCAGCTCGTGCCCGGTCAAGGGCCTGGGCTCAAGGGCCAAAAGGGTAGGGGAGAAGGTACCTGGTGGACAGCTCTCCAGAGGTCTCTGCCTTTCTCCCTCAGCCTCAGCTGCCGCCGCTGCATCATCGTAGGCAACGGAGGAGTCCTTGCCAACAAGTCTCTGGGGTCACGAATTGATGACTATGACATTGTGGTCAGGTAAACCCCCCAGTGCGGCAGGCACCTCGGGCACCTATCTGCATGTCCTGGCCCAAACCCCGGCGCCTGCGCCCGTTGAGAATTGTCTGGCCGTCTGGCCGGTGGGCTGGAGGTCAGCAGACGCCTGAAGAAGAACCTGGGTTGGAGGATTTTGGATCAGAGAGCTAGGTGGCTCCCGGTGACCTGGGCTCCCCATTCTCTGTTCCTTGGGGTATTCTGGGGTCAGAGTGCTTCCCTAAACATAGGCCCCAGCCCCCACGCAGTGAGCCCCGGGCTCTGACTGGGGCTGCTCTCTGTAGACTGAACTCGGCTCCGGTGAAAGGCTTTGAGAAGGACGTGGGCAGCAAGACTACCCTGCGCATCACCTACCCCGAGGGCGCCATGCAGCGGCCTGAGCAATACGAACGCGATTCTCTCTTCGTGCTCGCCGGCTTCAAGTGGCAGGACTTCAAGTGGTTGAAGTACATCGTCTACAAGGAGAGAGTGGTGAGCTCCCCGTGCACCGGCTCCTTCCCTTCGCTCCCTGCCCTGGCCTTGCCCAGCTTCCAGCTCCGTCCCTTCCTCTGAACCCAGCAAAGAGCCAAGGGGAACCTTCCAAAAGAAGCATTAATGACCCAAAGTTGAAAGACACTCAGACTCAACCCAGGGTAGCCATCCCAGGCTTCTGGAGTTGATAGGCTTGGCATCTGCTCCCTGCCTCCAGATACCCAGGCGATAGGGCCTTTCTCAGCCTTCTCTGCCACACCCCCAACCCGGCTCCTAAGTCCCTCCCCAGCAGCCCCTGCAGGCCTTCTCTGCTTTAGGTCCTCTGGTAAGGAAAACTATTATGTGGCTAGCTTTAGCATTACTCCTAATCTTCGTATTCTCCTGCCCTGACCTTGTAGCTGCCTCCCCCAGTCCCTCTTACTCGCTGTGAGGTCTCTCTGACTCTGATCAAATGGGTCCACCCTCACTCCCAGCCAAAGGAGAGAGGCCTGTTTGGACCCTGGGGCCGTTCTGCGGGGACAGCAGAGCCCTCACCTTGAGAGTGCTCATTCCCAAACTTACGCATAATGGTCCCTCTCTGCTTTGTGCTTTTACCACTGACCTGCAGTTCAGTCCCCAGCTTGCCGTTGAGTCTGGTCCCACTCTGGGAAGAATCAGATTCTACAGTCATGTTCCAGGCAGGCCAGGGTCAGGGTCTGTTTCTTCAGGGAGCCTATGTGGCCAAGCAGGCTCAGGCTGCTCTTTTGTGGACCACACATCGAGCCCCTCCTGAGTCCTCTATATCTCAGCTCTGGGCCTTTAGGGACACCTGCCAACTTGTGCAGGCCCATTCCCCATCTCCCCTCAACCAGCTGTCACCAGCACCCCCCCCCCCAGGGGAGGGGCACTGCAGAGCTCAGGCCATTCATCTCCCGATACCCATGCCTCCACCAGAGAATGGTGACTGACGCCTCTGCCTTCATAAGAAGCTAGTTCTTTCTGGACGTTTAGAGGAGAATTGGGGGGCGGGACCAGGTTACCCTGCCTATGGAGGTCTCAGTGCAATTTGATTTAACTCCACAGCCCTTTTCCAGGCAAGGCCAAGTACAGGCAGTGTCAAGTAGGTAGCAAGCGAGAGAGAAGACAGAAGTCAGGTCCAGAAACTCAGGTAGGTGGGACAGTGGGGAAGGGGAACCCACCTCAGAGCCAGGCTGAAGGAGATAGCCAGACTGCTGGTCCAGCTTGGCTCCCAAAGGGGAGGAAAGGGTTTGGCTTCAGCCAGCCCCAGCTGCAAGCAGGCCCACCCACTGCCACGCAAACCAGGGAGAGAGGGGGCTGAGCGAGCACTGCTCTGGCTTTAGGACCCTCATGAGCTCAGAGCCCTTGTCTCTGTCCTGAAGGCAGCAGCATTGGGATCACAGGTAGGTACTCTTAGGGAGAAACGGGAGCAACTTGGGTCTGCTGTGGTGAAACCTCGGGAGCCTGGAGGCTGCTTTCTCACTCTGGCCTCCTGACCATCAGCCCACCTGCCTCCTGGCACATCCTTTCCTCTCCCCTTAGACACCTGCCAGAGGAGCTCCCAGAGGGCAGGACCCTGGTCCCATTTGATTTTTTTGCCCTCAGTGCCCAGCCACCGTAAAGGATCCGGAATTGGCTCAGATACCGGGTCTTGCCTCCTGCTGGGATAGGACAGGCCGCAGGGTGGGCCAGGGCCAGCCAGGTGGATGTTTATCATATGCTCCTTCCAAGAACATCGAGATCAAGGTTCTTACAATTCATCCGAGGGAGTAAGGAAAGAAAGAAGAAAAGGAAGGAAGACAGCTAGAGTCAGAAAATTGACGTTACTCAGGGAGCAGGCGGCAGGGCCTCGCTCTTCCCAGGAAGACTCTGAGGAGCTCACGCCTGGCCTGGCCTTGGCAGCAGGATGATCAGAGGTACCGGAGCAGTTGGGATGGAGGCGTGTGAGCTGTGCGCAGGCTCACGCTCACCCGTGCTCATGTCTGTGCCCTGTCCTCTCCAGGCCATGCCCAGGGATCTGGGGCCAGACTTGTGTCAGTGGGAACTCCTTTGCAGGGTTGGTGGAGAGAGTGGGGAGGAGAGAGAAGAGGCAGGAGGGCCCCTCTAACGTTCCATGAGCCTTCCCGGGCTCTCATGTCAAAGATAATGAGGGTCTTGAGATGAGCTGCCAGAGGGAAGCCAGTGATCAATCCCCACGCTAGAGCGGACCTGCCAGGGCCCTTCTGGCTACCCAGGAAGCCTTCCCTTTCCCATCCCCCACCCCCCCAGGGCTGAAGCCTTCCGAGGACCTCTCTGCCCTTCGCTTCTCTGGGCTCCAAGCCCCGGGTAAGCCTGGGAGAGGCTGCTTCCCCGGCCCCTCCCATCTGGTGCCCAGCCACAGGCTGGTCCTGCTCCTGCAGCCACCGGAGAGCTCTCTACACCTGTCTGGAGCCTCACCTGCAGAATCCTGGCAGGAGGCAGCTCTGCGTTCAGGAGCCAAGGCCAGGCTGGGCAGGGCCAGAACAGGTATTAGGTCTCCGTCATGGCTGCTACCTGCCGCTTGCTATGTGAGCAGTTGCTCGTTGTATATAACTCTCTGGTACCCAGGAGTCCTGAAGACTAAACCCAAAAAAACAGCCTGTGTTCGGACTGGCCATACTCACTCCATCCATACTCATCTCTTACTTCACCTCCGCTCATCACTGTTTGTGGTCCTTTGGTTCCCTGTTCACTGAACAGTAGCACCGAAAACTCCAAATAAGTTACCCAGGGCCTCTTCCCTCCCAGATCCCAGGAGCCCTGAGCAAGCTGGCAAGCAGGTGGAGGAGTTCCCAGCAGGTCATGTGTGCTCGGAGCACCAGTGGATTTTGAGGGGGGAAAGCTGAGGTTGGCAGGGAGGGTGGAGCCTGGGACATATGTAGGCAGATGTAGGCATATGTAAGTCCATGGTGAGAGGGGGAAGCCTCCAGCTCTTGGGAAATTCTCAGAAGTACACCTGGCTCCATCTTGCACACAACTCACTGGTTGGCCAGGTATCGCTGAGCTGCTCCCTAGGAAGACAAAGATGGATTAAACACCAGTCTTTGACCCATTGTCACAGTCTGATGAGAGAGACAGACCTGAAACTAGAGAGATGATGCAGTGTGGTGGGTGCTGTGGCCTTCGCACCCTCCTCCTGATGTTTGATGAAGGCTAGAGACTCCCCTCCCCATTTACGTCCTGAGGCCTGGAGGGGACAGGACACGTGAGAGGCAGAGCTTGCCATGCAGTCACTCAGGCTCCATTCCTCCGACCTCTGCCAGCCTCCCGCACCTCACCCCCTTCCCAGAAAGCCTAAATTTCAGAGGCCACCCAGGAGCTACCTTCCCAATCCTCTTGGCTGCCTCCTCTTCCTGCATTTCCTTCCTCATCCTCATTCCCGAAACTGGGAAACTGACCTCATTGGTGAGGGGCCTCTGCCTGGTGACCAGTTCAGTGTAGTTTAGAGATCTGGCTGGGTTGGTTTGGGAGTGGTTCCAGCCCAGCAGGGAGAGGAGAGGGGTTAAGGGTTGGGGGTTGGCCTCTGAGTAGTGTTGACTCAGGCCTGGCCTTCCAGCTGTACTTCAGTCCTTGGGTAAGGAGGGAGGAACCTCAGAGGCTGGCCAGGACCCCACATTCATACAAAGGGGTACTGAGTCCCTGAATTTGGGAGAGACAAAATGGTTTAGGAGGGAAAGGCATTATGGAGTTATGTAGACTTAGCTTGAAATTTGGACATTGTCACTTACCTTAGGCAAATGACTTAGGCCCCTTAGATTTAGTCCCATCTGTGAAATATGAATGGTACTGCCTGTTCAGAGTTTTAAAAATTAAACCAGGTGAAATAGAGAAGTACCTAGCACAGCCCTGCTGGCGTGGTTCTGTGGCTGAGTGTCGACCTATGAACCAGGAAGTCACAGTTCGGTCCTAGTCAGGGCACGTGCCCAGGCTGCAAACACGATCTCCAGTGTGGGGGATGTGGAAGGCAGCCAATGAATGATTCTTTCGCATCATTGATGTTTCTATCTCTCCCTCTCCCATCTTCTCTGAAATCAATAAGCATATTTTTTTAAAGTACCTAGCACAGTGCTTGACACAGTAAGTGCTATCTATGCCAAGTAGTAATGCTGTTAGTTATTTTTTAATTATTGGTAGTGTCACTGTTAGAGCCACCTTATTGCACTAGGGAGTCAAGCGTTTGTCTGTCTAGGCTGCAGAGCCTGACCTGGGAAGTGACCTAAAAGTAGAGATCAGAGGCCAGGCCTAGAGGAGGGAGAACCTCGGGACCTCTGGGAAAGGCAGGGGGTGGGGAAATCTACGGAGCAAAGAGGGCCCACAGGTCCCCGTAATAGGAGGCCTTATTGGCCAGGCCCAGGATGGGGACTGAATGTCCATCTTCACCTAAATGTATATTCTGGCCCATGCCTGAGGGATGCAGAGCCTTGGGATGGGCTCTGCCCAGGAGCTCAGTATTCACACTGCCTCACCTTAGGGGAGACTCAGTGCAGGGCACGTAAAAAGGGTGATGAGGCCGAAACCGGTTTGGTTCAGCGGATAGAACGTTGGCCTGTGGGCTAAAAGGTCCCGGGTTCAATTCCGGTCAAAGGCATGTACCCTGGTTGTGGACACATCCCCAGTAGGGGGTATGCAAGAGGCAGCTGGTCGATGATTCTCTCTCATTGATGTTTCTAACTCTCTATCTCTCTCCTTTCCTCTCTGTAAAAAATCAATAAAATATATATATTAAAAAAAAAAAGTGATGAGGTGGGGACACACCACAGCCTCTCCTGCTTGAAGAGGGTTTTGCTGGGGAACCAGCATCCACGGTCTCCACCCACCACAGTCTCCTTTCCAAACCTCTGAGACAGGCTCTCCTAGGATTCCATTTCCTTCACAGCCACCTCCAGTGGATACTGCTCTTTACACATACCTCTTATCCCCATCTTTATTCCCCTTACCTCACCCTGACCATTGCTCCTCCACCCTTAAATAAAAAATGCTCAGAA